CCAAATCTTCAAGGATCATGATGGTGACCACCTTGGTTGATGATGTCTGGCTGACTGGCAGCGTTATTTATGGTGAACCTGACAGTAAACATTATCCTCAGAGATTGCAAAATACCGAAGCTCTTCTCCAAGCAGCCATCTCCTCTGTGGGATATCTCTCCAAAGGGCCGCGTTTTATCGCTGGGGATTTTAATGTGGGTCAACATGAATTACCTGCTTTTGATGCTTTGGCTCAGTTAGGATTCAAGGATCTGCAAGATCTTGCTGCCGAAAGGTGGGGAATTCTGCCCAGAATGACCTGCAAATTCAAGACAAGAAAGGATTTCTGCTATGTTTCCCCTGAACTTCAACTTTTGCTTCAACATGTTTCTGTGATTGACGATCTCTGGCCCGACCATTCGGTGGTTCAAGGTCACTTTCAGAGGTTGAAACATTCAGTGCCTAGAGACATTTGGTTCACACCGAAACCTTTTCCATGGCCTTCCAGTTGAGACTTGCCTGAGGATTTGTGGTTGAATATGACTGGTGATGTTGACGCAAAGTACTCGCAACTTTGGGCCTCTATTGAGGATCATGCTAGTCGGAGTTTGCCGTTTTCGGTCTCTAAACATGCTTTTGGTCGTGCTCAAACGGTGGCCACTAAAGCCATCAAGCCTGGTCAGATTGCTCCTATCAAGGTTGGTCGACATGGTGAATTTCAACCACATTTTCATGGATCATCAGTTCGATATGCCCAGTGGGTCAGACAAGTGCGTAGGCTGCAAGCCTTTTGTAGAAGCCGGCATGCTGATGCTCCGCCATCTGCTCATTCCACTTTGGTATGGGGATCCATTGTCAGGGCCAAGGGTTTTGATGGTGGCTTTGGCTGTTGGTGGATTACATGCTCAAACAAAGTTCATGGTGCTCCTATGCAGTTGCCATGGTTTCCCCCTGCACATGCCACTGCAGTTACAATTTTTGAATCGATGGTCATGAATGTTCGAGAGCTTGAAAAACTTTTGAAAGCTACATCTCTGCAATATGCTCGTATGCGTAGGGCCCAACAACCCAACATGATTTTCCGTGACTTGAAAAGTAGCCCAGCCAATGGAGTTGACTACCTCCTGCAACCGCTCCAGTCCACGGTTACAGAAGTTCGGGATGATGATTTCTCAGTTGTGGTTGATCCACCGCAGTGCTGGGACCCCAAGGACACCATCATGTGTCAAGGTAGGCAGTTTCAGATTGTACATGCTGAGGATGATTGCTTATGGCTTGACTCTACAGACAAGATTGAACCTGGGCAGTTGGTTTCACAGTTGCGTTGCACCGGGACCAAGGCGGACCTGGAAGAGGCTTTTGTTGCGTCATGGAAAGCACGATGGGACAGACACAAAGATGTTCCTCCAGAAAGGTGGCACACCATTTTGCAATTTGCCAAGCAATGTTTGAAGCCAGTGAGAATGCAATGGCCCTCACTGGATGCAGCTGGAGTGGCTCAAATAGTTGCTCACAAACGGCGGAGATCTGCTGGAGGATTGGATGGGGTTACAGTTGAGGATCTGCAACATATGCCTCCTGTTGTTCATCAGGCCTTTTGTGATATGTTTCATGAGGCTGAACTCTCAGGTGAGTGGCCGGCTCAGCTACTTCAGGGGAAGGTGGTTTGCCTAGCCAAGACTGACAATCCGAGATCAGTTGTGGACTACCGCCCCATAACTATCCTAGGTATGTTATACCGAGTGTGGAGCTCTTATCATGCTCAGCGAGCAATCCGTGCTCTGGACCAACATTTGCCTGACACATTGTATGGCTGTCGACCGGCTAGATTTGCGGGACAGGTGTGGAGCCAGCTTCTCTGGGCGGTAGAGTCCTCTGTTTCTCAGGGTATTGCGCTCACTGGCCTGATTGCTGACCTCCAAAAAGCATTTAATCATATCCCCAGATTAGTTGTTTTTGAAGCTGCAGCAATCCTTGGTTTGCCCATGACTTTGCTAACTGCATGGGCTGGAGCCTTGGTGAAAGTCGGCAGGCGGTTCCAAATTGGCCCTAACCTTACTCGCACACTTTACAGTTCTACTGGTTTGCCAGAAGGGGATGGACTTTCATGCCTTGGAATGTTGATTATTGATATACTCTTTCATGCCTGGCATGTGCATTTCTTCCCGCTCTGTCAGCCTGTGTCCTATGTGGATGATTGGACTATAATTACCACATCTCCGGCCATGTTGAATGGTATACAGCAGTGCTTGACAAGGTTCACTGATGCACTGGACATGCTGCTAGATGCCGATAAGACCTTTGCATGGTCTGTCACTGGTGAAGGTAGGAAGATTCTGAAAGCCAATGGGTTCAAAGTCCAGAACAGCTGTCGGGTGTTGGGAGCCCATGTTCAATTTTCTCGGAAGCACACCAATGCTACACAAATGAAGCGAATTGAATCCATGACTGGCCTGTGGAACAGACTCAAGCTTTCAGCTTCCCCGTACGAACTTAAAGTGCGTGCCATCCGAACTGCTGCATGGCCCAGGGGATTGCATGCAATTGCGGCCACATCTATTGCCAACCAAACCTTTGCTGATTTACGTGCTTCTGCAATGAAAGGATTGAACGCCACCGGCTCGGGGTGTAATGCTATGGTGCATTTGGGTCTTATTGAACAGCCACCCACAGATCCCCTTTTTTGGACCATTTTGCAAACAGTGCGATTAGTTCGAGATTGCGGCCTTGCAGAGGTGGTAGGAAATGCTCTGAGTGCACTGGTTCATGATGTAGAGGGAGTTCAAAACAATGGGATCTCTGCCACCTTGTTGATGAGGCTGCAGATCTTAGGATGGCATGTTAAAAGTCCCACCTGCCTGGTTGACGATTTTGGATGCTTCTCGTTGTTTGATCTTGGCATTGAAGAGTTGAGGTGGCGAATGGAATGGTCCTGGCTTAAAGTTGTTGCTGCACAGGTTGAACATAGGCCAGGCCTTCATGATTTAGCATGGGTTGACCCCGGTCGCACAAGACAATGGTTGAAATCGCTGTCCACAGCTGATAAAGCAGCCTACCGTAAGTTGTTGAATGGCACGCACATTACACAGGATGGCAAACACTATTGCCAAGAGAGTGAGTCTGATGTGTGTGACTACTGCCATTGCTCTGATTCCAGGTTCCATAGATTTTGGCAATGTGATGCCTTTGTGACATGCAGAGCTGCTGTGACCCAAGATCTTTGGGATGCCCTTCCCAACCTGCCGGAATGCGTGTGTAGCTATGGGTGGGCTATGCGTCCTACTACTTGCTTGGAATGGTATTCGTATCTTCAGAGTGTGCAGTGCCATGCGCAGCCTTCGGTGCCAGAATTTGTGGGAGACACTCTTCATGTATTCACTGATGGTAGTTGCTGTAATCCTGCCTATCCTGATGCCAGGTTTGCTTCCTATGCCATTGTGACTGCTGACCCCGCCATGGTGATTCCATCTCAGGTTGTTGAATGTGGTCCCTTGCCAGGTTTGCGGCAAACATCGGTGAGAGCTGAGCTTTTTGCAGTGCATCGGGTTATTCGTCTTGCAGCACGTTTTCAGTTGAAAGTCATGATTTGGTCTGACTGCCTGTCAGTGATCCGTAGATTGCGCAGAGTGATTGGGGGAGCCAACCTGAAGATTAACTCTCCCAATGCTGACTTATGGCTGCTCATACAGGATGATCTGCGTGGTACCCCTGTCGAAGTGCAATGTACAAAAGTTGCTGCTCACCGTTGCCTGACTGAGGCAGCGTCTCCACTAGAAGAATGGTGTTTTCTTCACAATCAGTTTGCTGATCATGCTGCTTCTCAAGCTCAAGAGGGACGTCCTTCTGGTTTTTGGGAACTTTTGCAAAGACATGTCAAAGCATGCGTTAAGATTGATGGATGGAATTCGCAAATCCAACAGGTGTTGCTCGCCATCAGTAAACAGGTACTGCAAGGTGGAAAGCCTGATGAACTTAGGGAGGACCATGTTCCTGAGTCGGTGCCTTGTGCTCATGCTTGGACCCCCTTGCCGGTTCTTGAAACTCTTCCTGCTGGAGCAGTGCGATGGTATGGACCTGTGATGGTCCAGACTATGGTTGACTGGTTCTGGGCAGCGTTGGACCAATCTCATGCTCCCATGATATGGATATCATATGCCCAACTATTTGTTGATTTTGCGCTTTCTACTGGAGATGCTGGCCCACTTAACATTGGTGGGTGGAAAGATGCTTCATTGATTCCTCATCACAGCTTGCTTGGGATTGGTTTCAAACGGAGAGCCAGATCTTTTGCGAAAGTTTTACGTGAAGTTTTGCGGCATGCTGGAGTGCGAATAGCTTCTACCTATGTAAGACCGCAAAGTGAGATGATTGCCATGCACTCTAGTTGTGTGGCGGTGCCATGGCCTTCAGAAAGAGTCCTTGCTGTCGACCGATGGTTCTTATCCTTTTCTGCCCGGCCCTTCAGACGACAGACTAAGGAGCTAGACCACTTGCCGGTTCCATGCAAAGACGATAGGTTTCCATTGTCATAGCGTTGAGCAGTGAAAAGCACTGGTTTCGATGACCAAACCTGTGCGCCAGCGAAATTGGAGAAATTGGTGGTTTGGAACATTATTTTTTCAATTCAGTTGGGAATTTCATCATCCCAACCGACGAACTCCATCATTTTTTCAGAGGGGTTGGTATACCACCAACCAGTATAGTGTTGTAAACCTGATGCTCTAGACCATCCTCGGAATCACCAGTTTTATGGGTTGTATGTTATTATCCGTCATGGTAGTTGTTTATGGCTTGGGCTTATGAATCATGTGAATTGATATCATGAATCATTAAGATACTTGCTATGAACCATTATGTGGTTTGACTTATCACCACTATTTGCACTACCATGTGGTTAAAAAACAATTATTGAACATTATAAACCACTATTGATCATCATTACCCACTCTTGACATCTATTAACCACGATCAACCACTATATTTCGTCTGGCCAAAAAAGACCCTTGGTTTTGGACAAAAAGGCTGGGCGCCTGTGAAGAGACAGCTGAGTGGCAACGAGCACTGGAACCTTGGAGGGGGATTCAAGACATGGCCGTGAAACTGGATTAATGTGGGTACTCGTAAAAACAATAATAACATGGATTTGTTATTTTCCCCATGGAAAATCCACCATTTGAGGAATCTATAGTGAATATTTTTCATTTTTGGGGAACCCCTTAAGCAAATCCAAGATAAACAATAATGGAATGATGGTTAGGATTGGGAAAATCACACACTGGTTGGTGGTTTGGAACCATGGAATTTGATGACTTTCCATTCAGTTGGGGAAGAATAATCCCATTTGACTGATATGTTTCAGAGGGGTGGCTCAACCACCAACCAGATAAACAATAAACCAGCCCCCAGTCCTCATCATTGCTATAGGTGGTATATATAAACCATTCCCAGTCATGGGTGGTAAACATGGCATTGTTTTACCCAAAAACGGATCTGAATGGTTTGAATGTATTCCTATTAATGGGTCCAAGGGCCTAGGGGAGATAGTTTTTTGAATTTATTTGTCCATGGCTTGAATTATTCAACCAAATGAGGATTTCACCCAAGAAACATGCGAATTGGAGCAAAATGGAAAGTAAAGTGGCTGGAGGTTGATGCCCAAAAAGGAGGTGGTAAAAATAACCCTACTGCCTACGTAGGCCCATAAAGGTCAGTGGCTTCTCCCATGGTCGAATTTTGGCAGCAAAGTCTCCATTCCAGCGAACGTTTGGCCTCTAAGAAATGAAGATTTCAGGATGGGCCGGTCCCCCTTCAGATGCCGCGTGCGCGATAAGTGGGTTGGTGAATGAATAAGTGGCTGAATTAACTATGGTTTATGGATGTTTATGGTAGATATAACTATAGATAAGCCGGTAGTTATGGTATTCGTGGGGTTTATAAACCAACAAACAAAACTGGGGGGGCCCATCCTGTCATGGATTTTTTTCACTGGATACTCAAAGGTGGCGGGAAAATCCCCTAGCCATACAGGCTCCAGCTGGGAAATGTACCCTCTGGCAATCAAATGTGGCAATGGAAAATCCCCCATCTGCAGATGATTGTTGCATTAAAACCTCTATGTCCTCTAGTTTTTTTCAATGCAACTAAATGATTATGATCCAGGTATTCAAGTTGATCATATCCCTAAAATTTGGAATGTCAGGTGGTAAAAAAGAAGTGCTTTTTCCTGCGGCGGCCTTTGTTGGGCCTTGTTTTGAAGCCACATTCTATGGTCTACAGGGTCTACAGGATGGGGGCCCCCCAGTTTTGTTTGTTGGTATATAAACCCCATGAATACCATAATTATCTATACTTATATCTACCGTAAACATCCATAAACCATAGGCAAAAATCAGCCACAAACATTCATTCACCAACCCACTTATCGCGCTAACGCGGCATCTGAAACAGGCCCCATCTTGTAAAACACCTATGGTGAAAATATGGGGGGTGATATTGGAACGTTGATCTCAATGGATTGGTTTTGTTGGGAAAATCTTAAGCCCGGAAACCCATGGGTTTTACCATCCAATTCTATGATGATCTCCCTTGATCTCATTGTAAGCAATTTTCCATGGGTTATCACCATCCTCACCATGAAAACTTCTCGAGCAACAAAACCATGGCGCCAGGAGTCTTTGCAGCAAATGTCTGTGAGATTCTGGGCTTGACCGGTGAGAACTCACAGTTGGGAGAGTTGGGACTTTTTCTAACGGTAAAATATTTTTCTAAATAGATAATAAATGAAGTGGTTACCCTTTCCAACCACCAAGCATCATCTATTTGGTTGCAGAACTACAGCCCCAAAAAGATGATGCTTGGAAAGGGTAACCATGGGTAACCACTTCATTTCATCAGTTTTCATCGACAGTCAAAAATGGCTGGCTGGAAATCCCTGATATGTTTGTGTCCAAATCAGAAAAGCATATCTAGGTACTTGGTGGCTCATCCCACTTCGTAAGTGGGTTATAACCCCAGTTATAAGTGGATTAACCCTACTTATCCCATTTATAACTGGGTTTTTTCCACTTGCTAAGTGGGATGAGCCACCAAGTAGGTAGAATTGTTGTTCTGTTGCCAGCTTCGATTGCTGAAGGAGAAGCCAGGTTCGATCTGCAGGCTATTGATACGAGCCGGTGGCTGGTTGGTTGCCCCAAAAACAGTTGTTTTAAGTTGCATAATTATGTAGTAACATATCAATACATATCATAACATATCCCACTTTCCAGAGTTCTTGCGTGGGATATTAGTGATATCACCCTTTCATACTTCGTAACACTTCGTAACAAATAGCACTGGATTCCATCTAAATGATTGTTGGTGGTATCCCTACGTTTGGAAAATTACATCCCACGTTTGTTAATCATCCCTGTTTTTTTTTGGATTTTTGAGCGAAGATATTTTTCTTGGAAACTCCCATATATACCCTCCAGATCCAGCAAACTACGTTTTAGGTATGGAAAAACCTCGACTTTTCCCCAGAAAATCTATGCTGCGTGGTAAGATCCTCATCGGGGCTATACATAGTGCCCATGTGTATTTTGGTTATGTCCAAAAATCTCTGTGATGTTTCATCCGATGTTTCATGGTCAACATAAGTTATATCACTATCCCAGATATCAAGTTACCCTCTGGTAAACTAACATAGCTATTGAAAATGGCCCATTTATAGATGGTTTACCTATGAAAAATGTTGAATTTCTATAGCTATGTGAAAAATTACCGGGTATCTCCCATTAAGATCCCATTGAATCACGATAAAATCCCAGTAAATCACCCATGAATATCCCATGAATGTCAGTGATATCCCAGATATAATCCCATTAATATCCCATGAATATCCCATTAGACAGTGATATACTAGATGATTCACCACATTGATTTCAAGGGTACACACCTGTGCACTCGCGGCCGCCCAGAGCCTCAGGACGCCTCGAGCCCAACGAGATCAGTTTCTCGTTGTTTCTTGGGGCACTTGGTCGTGGCAAGGAATGGCAGGCCGGGCCATGGTTCGAAAGCCTGCTTGGTCGATAGGTTACCCTCTGATAAACTAACACTTTGCGAACTGGAACATCACCATGCTATTAATGGGTAAACCCACTATAAATCGCATTTCAATAGCTATGTTAGTTTACCAGAGGGTATACAAGCCAATATATTGGGGATAATGATAATCTATGAGAATCCAAGAACGGGGAATCCCTATAATTATGGCAAAGTTGGTGTAACTGGAAGATTCCCAACAAAGAAGGACTGAGGGTAGATATATCATGATATATCGAACTAGTTCAAGCTGGTTCAAAGCCAACTTATAACTGGGGCCACTTTGTAGAATGATGTTTAGCAAGGGCAATGATTGCAAAGAAAAGCCTATTTGTGGCTAGTGAGTCGTTGAGATTTATCCAGCAGTCAGCTAAGTTGGTTGATAACTATGTTAACTACCCAACTGGTTGGGTTTACTGTAGCCATTTTATCCATATGGGATTCAACAAGGGGTTGGCCAATGTCTGTCATATTTTACCATATATAATTATATATATATGTATTACATCCAATGACTGCTTATGCCCTAGGTCGATTGCTAAGTTAGTTTATAACTGTCAGTGAACTTGGGTATAGGGCCGTTATAACTACGCATCCTTAGCTGGGATTCTAAACAAACATATAACCACATGGCACTGGTTTTGTAATTGCAGATACTGGTAACTAGAATAAAACAACTGAATAGTTTTGTACACAGGTGAGCAGTGTTCAAAACCCTGCTTGGTTGATGATCATAAGTGATTATACTACCCAATGTGTTGGGGGTTATTTAATAATCCAATAGGGGAATCCCCATAAACCAACCAGTATAATGGAATGACAGAGGGATTTTGAACCCTGCTCCGCTGGACAGTTCGGCCAAAAAAAGTTAAGATCTCTTCAACGTCAAGAGTCATGGGGGTACCCCAATAGCTGGATGATTTATATAATGAAAATGCATTTTGATAGGGGTAAAAGCTTACTGCAACCTACCAATACAATGGCAGCAACACAAGTATGTATGTACGTACGTACGTATGCATATATATATATTATACATAATCAAATTACATTATTATATTATACTACACATATACACACATATATAGTTAGTCAGATTTTTCAGTGTAGTCACCAATATTGGGATATATGCTTTGTATATTGGGTAGCTTTGTATGTACTAGTTACCAGCTTCAACATTCTTAAGACATCTGAAGACCATCTTTGTTGCTGGCGTGATATGAGATATTCGATGAACGACAAGGATCAAATATTTGATAATACCCTCTGGTAAACATACAAAATAACTATGGAACATCACTCATTTTCAACCGCCAAACCGCCAAGCGTTCGTGGTCACCGGAACGCTGAACAGCGCCAGATGGCACTGACGCTGTTGCAAGAGATGTCCAGATGGCGAGGCGATCACTTGATGAGTGTCTGGGCGAGGCCCCCATCGATCACGGATCTTGTGGTGCCTTTGGATGGCTACCTATACAAAATATGGCTTATAGTGTAATTAAATTATAACCTATGGGGATATATTACCGTATAACTATGGGGATAGAGTATAACTATACTTACCCTGTGGAAAACATACTAGTCGTTCCATTAAGTTTGGATGGGATATAACCTATGGGGATATAGTATACCTATGATTAATACTAATGGTATACTAATGGTATAATGGAATATTAATGGTTTATACTATGGTTAATGGAATATTCATGCTTTACTAATGGTATAATGTCAACCCCGGATTTTGCTAAAGCATGGTTTATGACAATTAGGGGGGTACTCCTCCAATAGTCATTCATCTCGTACTTAAATGGTACCCTCCCAATTAAACAGCCCAGGGGTTTATTAATCCAGGGTTGAGATTAACTATAGCCTATGGGGATATAGTATAACTATGGGGATAGAGTATAACTATACTTACCCTGTGGTAAACATACTAGTCGTTCCATTAAGTTTGGATGGGATATAACCTGTGGGGATACAGTATGGATGATGGGGATAATAGTTAATAATAATTAGTTAATAATGGTTAATGATGGTTAATGGATTACATGGGGTATACCTTTGGATATTCCATACCATACATAATACCCTCTGGTAAACTAACAGTTTGCTTTTGAAAATTGCCATAGAAATTGATGATTTACTCATGAAAAATTGTGATTTTCGATAGCAAACTGTTAAATTACCAGAGGGTAAAAGGTGAGGCTTGCACGGTCAACCAGGTGTTTTGAGTTGGAACATGGCCCAAAACAACAGTGATTTTAATGATCTACCTAGAAAAAGCGTGATTCTCTATAGCTACAGGCTGAAAACTAGGACTAGTTGGCTTTAAGAAAATATTTATAAGCCCAGTAGCTATAGCGATATTCCCCATTAAACCGTTCCGTTCAACCAAGTTATGTGCGTCAACTTAGCTGGCTTCTTTGGGGGCCTCACCTTGTACTTCTTTGGGTTGTTTTAAACCTTGGAGGAAACAACACCAAAACACATAATTTTTAAAAAAAATGGTGATAACCGGGGGATGGTTTATGACATTGTTTCACCACCATTAATCATTATGATGTTCCCTTTGACAATTGCCATTTTGTGGATAACCTGACAACACTGGTTTCGTATTCGCATTCCAACTTGTCGACTGAATCATTTCCGGTCGAAGTCTCATTTGTTTTTGTTCAGTCCCCAACTTATTGTGACATCTTTCATGTGATGAAGCAGGTCATAAGTAGGTAGCCCACTTACACCATCTTACACCATCTTACACCATCGTACACCATCTTACACCATCTTACACCATCTTACACCATCTTACACCATCTTACACCATCTTACACCATATCACTAATCTTAAATGAACGGATATGATGATATGTTTATATAAATGGTTCATATGTAATCATGACCAATAATGAAACATGATACATATTACTGATGTTTAATACTTACTAAATTATTGGTTATTTCTTTACGAATGATATGCCCATTTAACCACAAGATGGTGCCCCCCCAGTTCTAAGTTGGTTTATAGACCCCATGAATACTAGTTCGTTGTATCTACCATAAAACATAGTCAAACCACTAAAACTGGTTGGTGGTTTCAAACATGGTTTTTTTCCATTTCATGTATGGGATGTGATCCTTCCCATTGACGAATTCATATTTTTCAAGATGGTTTTTAAACCCCATTAACCATAATTATCTATAGTTATAAGTTATATCTACCATAAACCATAGTTAATTCAGCCACTTATAAACCAACTGAACGCTATCTTGGGGGCCGCATCCTGTGATGCCCATAATTCTTATCCCACCTGGCCCAGGTCGCACCAGTGCCATGTCGGCCTGTCGTAGAGCCAAGAAGTGGCAGGCTGCCTTGGCAGCTCGTGCGAGCGCAATGGAAGACATGGTGCCTTGGAAAAATGCATGGAAAATGGTGGATTTCATGGGATTTCACCATGAAACATATGGCAACATGATGGATTTCCATGGAGAGATGTCAGATATGTCGAAAAATGCCTTGGAAAAATGATGGATTTTCATGGGATTTAAGCATGATATTTCATGAAACCATGGTGATTTCATCGGGGTTTTCATGGGGATGTTTCACCTTTCTCTAAAATTTGGTGGATTTTCATGGAGATTTCACGGAGTTCACCATGATTTCCATGATGATTTTGTGGGAGATGTCATGGAATATTGATGGAATATTGATGGAAATATGTCTGCTCAATATCTCATGGAAATAAGTCATGGAAATAGTAATTATTAATGGAATATCATATGGAAATATGTCATGGAATATTGATTATTACCCTCTGGTACATTAACATAGACCCTGGCAAATAGGGGTTGGCAAATAGGGGTAAATAAACAGTTGGACCCTGAAAATCACCAATTTTTAATGGAAACTAATCTTCCAACCCCGATGACTGCCAGGGTCTATGTTAATTTACTGGTGGGGAATATCTCATGGAAATATGTCATGGAAATAGTGATTCTTAATGGAATATAATATGGAAATATCATTGAACATTTAGTAGAATTGGTAGCAGAATATCATGGAAATAGTGATTATTATGACTATTGAATATTATTAATATGTCATGGAATAAGATGGTAGTGGAATGATGATTATTAATGGAATAGTCATGGAATAGATGTTCTATCTTCCCAATGGAAATCCCACTGGTAATCTAAATGGAAATCCCATGGAAATTAGTGGGGTATGTTCTATTTTCCCAATGGAAGTCCCCGTGAGTAATCTATCAGGAATAGTTTTCATGTTTTTTTTGTGCAGCAAATCCGGTCTATTTTGAGCAGTGGTTGCATTCACTAAAACCTTTTGGTTGAGGATAGTCTAGTGGTTTAATGGGGATTTAACCATATTCAGCCATCTTTTTCTTCAGGGGCTGTAATCATAAAACATATGGGGATATATACTTGAAGAATCATGATTGGTTGATGATCAGTTCAAGGATTATGAACCTACCCTTTAGATTAGTTGGAGATTATCATAATCCATGAGGAAATCCCGTTACCAGGCAGCAAGGGGCGACGTTGCGTAGCCACCGGTCCATTGAGCGTCACTACCGGGTCCACATCATTGGGGAATACCCAAATTAGATGCGCGCCTAGATCTTCTAGCAAGGTTGCATATCCTATTGTTGCATGTCATTTTTTGGTTTTCCTTGGCTGTCATGTACCATTTGTAGGAATGTTCATTCCTATCCTTTTGGCCTTCTGCATGTTTACACATCAATGACTTAACATTTATGAGCAATACTTATCGCTAATGTTCGATCAAATCTATTGCTCATGATACATGATGCATCTAGAATGATTCCAATCATATACTCTATGTTCTACATATAATGTGGTAAACCCGAGGTCATCAACCTCTAATTTGGGGAGCGTTTCAATCCCACCCATTTTTTTGCAAGGTAGGAGTGATGGTTTATGTCATTAAGTTTACCCCATTCCTAGGGATTGCTTGGAATATGGCACACTACCCAATAGCTAGCCATGCTGATTTTGAAGAATCTCAAAATATTATAGTTAGTAACCCCCAGTCAGAAAAGTCAGAATTTTGTAGAAAGAAAAGTCGTGAAAATCTCAGCATTTCAGCCGAATTGTACTGTTCTATCTTTTTTGGTGTACCCTTTATCAAAACCTGGCCACCACAGGACCTTGGTTGAGCCCAGCATAGCCATGGTCGCTTCTATCCCCGGTGGGGCACAATATACCAATGTACAAAGATATATGACATGTGTATAGAAATATAATTACGTACACATACGTGTATATATATTATTATATATACGTCTACATTGTTTTGTTGTTATCATTATTAATTGCTATCAGGCTATCATTGTTAATTAATCATTATCATGTTGTTGAAGTTTCTTGTTTCTATGACGATGAGTTATGATGACTAGAAACTGTCAGCAGTATTACAAGGTGAGGCCCCTCCACTTGCAAGTTGTTTTTTCCACCCCCATGAATACTATAGCTATATTCCCCATAAACCCACAGGATGGGCCCCCCCAGTTATAAGTTGGTTTATAAACCATTATGATTAACCATAATTATCTATAGTTATATCTACCATAGCCACTTAAAAACCAACTGAACGCTATCTTGGGGGCCCCATCCTGCAACAGATAACCAAGTTTTAAGTCAATTTAGTCATGGTATGTTGACCTCACCTTTTGGATAGTGAATATTATCCCATCGCAACTACTATCCATCTGGTGGGTTTCCCTACATCCACCATGGCTTCTAATTACTATGCCATAAACCATAGTTGTTGGATCTTACAGTATATGCTATCCCAGATCATATACCCCATAAAGAAGTGTATAAAAGTTGGTTATATCCCCATAAATATCACCCCATATAACCCTACATTAACCCATATGTATCCCATATTAACCCATACTATCCCATGAACTTTGCTATTTCTGTGAAAGATATGTTTTGCATCATTAGTCAAAAGCTAGTGTTGCTCCAGATAGCTCGCATGAAACCTGGGTCAGCTGGTCGACCCAGGATACAGCTGCCCTTAGCACAGCCATTTTGGCATTGGAGGAGAAGCCTTTGGGCGATGACCAATTGACCACCAGTTGACATGGCGATGTAGTGAAAAGTGGACAAAAATCACCCGCACAAGTTGAGGATTTTGCCAAAAATGGTGGTTTTTCAGCAACAAACATGGTGGTTAAAAAAAGGTGATTTGTTTAACCAACAAAAATGTGGACTACCCCACTTAACATGCGGATTTAACGACAAATAAACATATCGCTGAGTACTATGAGGGTACACACTGTAGAAAGTATATAAGGGACTCGTTTCCAGGACCGGGTCTCATGTGAAGTTGACTCCGCGAGCCAAACACAAAGCACGAGACAACATGAACTACGGAGAAGCCCACTCCTTCGGGTCGAGGTCTGTACAAAGTAAAATGCAACGGGGAGGGTGGGGAGGCTGCAAGAATGTTTTGTTGGAGGAAGCGTTGTATGCACGGAATTTATGCACATGGGGCGCCTTTCCTTGACATGATGCAATGAGTATTATGAGTCTAGCCCTGGAAATTAAACCACCGAACTGGACCAAAACAGCCTTCCACACCATGTCCCCGTATTGTGAAACCACCATCTTGGCAACCAAGCGCAAGAAACCATTGATGAACAACGTCCATTGTCGCAGTTCAACGCGCGCTTTACGGAAAGGCGGGCGCCCAGACCATGGGCCCAAAAAGTCGCAAAACACAAACAGGAGCTGCTCAATATGGGCAGCAAGGATACATACGCCGGTTGTGCTTCCGCCAATGCAAGCTGGCAGCCGCACATGCCCATGATATTGTATATATGATTATTAAACCTCCAGCATAAATGGCTTGGAAGGGGGGCAACATCTCCTGAGAAGGTTCTTGACCCCCCACGGGAGACCCCAAATTTACCTTGGAAGGTGCTGGTGCTTCCATACAATCCGAGCTAGTTGGCCAACAAATATCCTTCAACGTTGGGTAGGTTTTGGCTGAATATCTATCCATTGAAGGAGGAATAGATCCATCAAAAAATTACCATGGCCAGCTTGGACAGTTTTCCATATTCCAAGTGAATCCAAGTGATATGTCTTGGTAGGTCTCTTTCAGATTCACCATGGTTACGCTTCAATGAATCACCCCAAGTGGTAGGATGGCAACCGTTGGATGGCCACCCTCGGCCTTTACGAAAGCGCTGGCGGCCGCGTCGCGCTGGACGTGTTGGCTCGTGCGCAACAGTGGGAAGTGACCATGGAGTCTAGCTTGCAACGGGAAAAATGGGAGTGAAAAGTTGGAAAAACACAGAAGAATTCGGATATCATCAGCACAAGAAGGGTTTAGCGGAGTTTGATCTGGTAAAACACAATTTTCATAGGATTTAGTGGGACTACTGGGTGTGTCTGCAGTGGATTTAACCTTAAATGGACATTTTAAGCGGGAAATGATGAAAATCCATTGGGTATGGGGGAGTGCCTCGATCCGAAAGTTCAAATGTTTGGAGAAGATCGCCATGTTGCCTTTTTGAATGCTGGCCTACCCGTAGCCGGTGCGGGGCCAAAGTGGCGGAATTCATCAAACAAACCCAATGTCAAAAAGTCAGAAGGGCTGAACCAGTTGAACCAGTGCGAGTGATTTGAGTTGGCACATGTTTTTTGATTAACACACAGAATTGTCAGTGCATGGCTGCAATGAAGGGTTCAGGAGCATAGATATTAGGGAAGGTTTCCCAACCTACAGTCACATGGTGATACAGATGGATAAGCAGCCTAGCGCCCAGTGTTTTTCAGCATCGAACAGTAGACGTGGTAAAGTTTGTCTATTTTTGGTGGAAATCTATCGGAGTCACCATTTTGGGCCATCGGTTGGGGTTTGATACTCATAAAGGGGATATCATGGGGAATGAGGAGCCCGACTTACACAATAGGGGCGTAATTGCAGATAATAGCATTCCCCCATGTTTACTACTTTTTGGTGCCCACCTATTAGATTTTTGGAAATCATGGTAATTTATACACAATCACCAGAAGTGAAACTATTGAGGGAACTGGGAAGGAACCAGTATACAATGGCTGGGAAGCTGCCATGATAGTCCCATTGTACCCCAAGAATTTCTGGATACATTCTTAAGATGGTTTGCAGGGTCTATGTTCATTTACTGGAGGGTAACTCTCAGGACGGTTCCCCGGCAATATTTTCTGTCATATCCCCACTATCTTCCCATGCTGGTCGGGCACCATTATCCCAATGAAATGGTACCATTGATGGATCTGGGTATATTATAACGACCTCACTGCGACCTCACTGGAATCATTGTTAGAACAGTAAGGGGGATCATCCTCAAACTAGCCGAACATTTCAGGTTAGTGAATTATTATAATTTACCCAGATGGATAATATCCCATGATTCCATCATTCCCCTGATCTTTCGATTAAATCCACATGATTCTTGGTGAAATCCTAAATTTTTGCTTGGTGAAACCACCATTTTTTGCCACTGTAATCCCAATACACAACTAAGCAATAACATATTAAGTGGTTAAGTATAAAACATGTAGCGTAGAATTGGGGTATATCCCTCACATCCAACTAAGCGATATCCCTCACGAAATTCTGGCTGCATCATCCCATGAAATACCATCATTTCATATTTATAATAATTAGTATAGATAAGCAACCCATAAGCAACCCATCATTCCCTTTATATGCCGAATGTGTTCCAATTCTGTCCCATGAGTTGGTGAAATCCCAATTTTTCTCATCGAAAATGTGTCACCTTTTTTGGAGGTTTCCTAAAATGGTTAGCACCCCAAAAAACCATAGGTTTCAATACTAACATGGTCCAATACGCCCTGGATGACTGGGGGGTTCCCCCATGACAAAATGCTGCTGAGGCCCTGCGCAGTGCGCATTTGTCGAAGGCGCTCCTGGCAGCGTGCCCGTGGCGAGTCGCCACGGTGCTATGGCCACGGTCAGGCCGCAACGGCTTTTGGGGTGAAGGAAGGCTTGTTGATGTTCCGATTTTACGGAAGGAGATTGGATGAGATTGGTAGTAGTTTATTATAGTTTATTATAGTTTATTGATTTTGGAATTTGGAGGTTCTATGAGCTTCTCAAGTTTTGTTGGGATGGTGCTGGTTTTGCTGGGATATCAATAAGATTTTAGTGGTATTTTAGGGGGTCTGACTGAGTCTGCTGGGGCTTGAATTGGGTTCAAAAAAAGAGGGGCTTGAATCATAGCAGGGCGCAGGGTGTTGGATTTCATAGCTGGGGTTAGCTAATTAAGGCAAATTGAAGATATACTACAACTGGGATTCCCATGGTACACAGTTCTCAGTTTGGAAAAAACTGGGTGACCTTTTCATGAGGCTAAAAGCAGTTTTTGAGGTTATCTACCCGCCAGTGATCCGGCGAAGTTCTCAAAAAATCTGGTAAGCGGAAAAGCCTTCCACCCTCTGGTCATTCAACGTATACAGCGTATAGCTATGGAAAAATCAATAGATATACATATAGATATACATAGCTATCATAGATATATAGATATATATGTTTATAGCTATATCGATATATGTTTATTTGTATCACATATCACATCCATTCCTTTTTGTCTCAATTCTTCCCAGTTGTCCAGCCATATTTTGATGGTTGATACCACCTATTTAATGATAAGTCTGGGGATGGTGGATGCTATTGCTTTACGAACATTACATTGATTTTTCCTTTGGTAATCAAACATGGCAATGGGAAATCCACCATGTATAGATGATTTTTCCGCTAAAACCCTCCATTTGTAGTTAATCTCAATCGGATACAGGTAACATCTCAAAATCCTTTCTGAAAAGTTGTGCAATCTTACCGAAAGGTGTCGAGACGTACGTTCACGACTGCAACACACCGAACCAAGTCTCAAACCAAGTCTCAATATACAGAGACCAGAGGCCGTGTGCTTGGACTTCCACCAAGTGTTGGGTCGGGTACGCGTAGGCCGTGGCAGAGGGAACTGGAGGTTGGAAGGAGAGAACTTGCATTCGCACGTCGTAAGAATCTTACAGAAGATTTCACAGAGATTTGCAGTGCGGGTTGTCTCTTACTGTTGCGCTCCAAAGTTTCGACAGCACGTCAAAGACTTTTGCGCCGGAAGAAGCTACATTGACCGAGTGATTATCACAGCTGATAGAACTGGGAGTGTTGGAAAGCTTGCTGCGGTACTTGGTGGCTCATCCCACTTAGTAAGTGGGATAGTTCACCCCAGTTATAAGTGGATTAACCCTACTTATCCCATGTCAATCACTGGGGTTATAACCCACTTACGATTCCTGGGTAGTTCGCCACCAAGTACGATCCCAACTTGATCCGAGACTCCTTCAAGATACGTTCATCTGCGACGACGACATTTCGGTCCTTCAGGAGTGGCACGAGAGCTCCCAACAGGGTTTTTTTGCGCTGTTGTCTCGTAGAGAGGATTTCCAATTGCTCAATAATCATTAAATGAAATCAAGATAAATCCCATTAAATCAAAACATTACTGTTATTATTGTTATTCTAAAATCCAACATTACTCTTCCTCCATGAAATCCCATTCACAATAAATCCCATTGATTGTCCCCAAGTTGCGAATAATAGTCATTAGTGTTAGCTAAACCTCCAAGTTGCCTTTCACCAGCATTTTTCGCCATGGCAGGCGACGAGCCAGCGCTGGAATCGACCAGTGCAGTGTGCAGCGCTTGCGCGGAAGGGACCCAGTGGAGGATGGCTCTGGAAATCTTCAGATGCTCGGCCTGAGAAATCTGGTTGGTGGTTTCAAACATGAATTTTATTTTCCATTTCATACATGGGATAATTAATCCTTCCCATTGACGAACTCATATTTTTCAAGATGGTTTTTTAACCACCAACCAGAAATCTTCACAACGGATTGTTGGCCATCATCATCAACAAATAACCAAACAGATTTCTACCCACACAAGAGAGAAAACGAAACATAGTAGGTTTGTTGGCCTGAGAATTTCGGGTCACCCCCTAAGGTGATAAGGTGAATAGGATCGCAAGAGGTGGATTCCTCGCATGATATTCATAGTGCCCCCAGGTCCTGAACGCTAACAAAAAGATGGCAAAGCACCACCTTCAAGAGGAAAACTTCCCCAAACATCCAATGGTCAAGCATCCTTATGCGTATAATTCATGCTTTTAGAATGGGGTATACCACATTTTCAGACACAGTCACTCGATGTTTACATGTTTTGTTGGTAAATCATTGCCAGCCACAAGTGAAATTGTTTTTTGTTCCTCCATATTTCGCCCTCGCTTGTATCTGGGAGCAACCCAATGGATGTTGAACATCTGTTGGTAAAACTCATGGGACTTTGGTGGGATTTATGTGTGCGATCAGTGCACAGAAAATCCATAGAAAAATTCCAGGCCGGCCTGATGTTTCGGGCTTTGGGAATTCAGATAAGCACAGAATCATAATAATAGAATGTTAAATAATAACATGTTGTTTGCACCATATTGATTTTTTATATCATACCGTGCATATCATGTTGTATCACGTCATGTTATCATATCGTGCATGTGTGTTTTACCTTTGTTTATATGTGTCAGTGTCTCTATCATATTATTTCACATTATTGTTACTTACATGATATCTGATATACCGGGTTATGTTTTAACGTATTAATTAAATTGTTTTATTTGTCATATCATATGGTTATATGTTGGATTGTAGTTCGTTGTTCGTCACCAGTGGACATTGTATGATCAACATTTGAATGTTATGTTTATATAGTGAAGTCGTTGCGCATTATATCATTTAGTGTTGGGTTCTGGTGTACTATACCATTGTATATTCTATTTGCTTGTATTGTGTCATACTATTTTGAACTGTTTGACAATTCTGTTCTATTCTACTGTATACCGTTTTCTTTATTCTACTGTATACCATGTTATTCTGTTCTATTCTATTTTTCCTAGTCTATTCCATTGCATTATATTATATCCTCTCATACTACGTGATACCATATTATTAGGTTAAATTACTTCTATATCCATCTTGAAATAGATAGAATATGACATGGTCCAAAATTCTCCCAATTTTGTGTGTTGTTTCCGAAATTTCCACTTTCCATCTACTCCAGGATTATTTGTACAGATATATATATATATATATAGTTATAATCACCATAATACATATATCAAATCGTCATCCCCAGTCATAGATGGAAACGTAAATCACCATCAAAATCATAAGGATTTACTCCCACTATGACTGGGGATATGACTATCTATATAATATCCAATGTATCAATGTGGTAAAGCCAACAAGAAACCATCCCAAAGTCATCACCATGTGCTTTTTCTCTAGCCCATCCCCATGGTAGTTGTTTATGGCACCCAAAACCCGCAAAAAACAAACACTGAGCCGTTTGGCCCAGGTCACCTACCGCGCCTGGATGAAGTGATCTTCAGCTGCCTGCTGGGTGCCTTTGGAAAGGCACGACAATGGCAGGAGGCGATCCAACTGATGATGCTCGGCATCGACGAGCTGGACCCTTTGCGAAAGCTGGGAAAAGGTTTAAGAGCTGTGGCGAAAGAAAATTGGTTGATGTGGTTTCAAATGCTGAACCACATTGTTTCAATCGTGTTTTTTTTGACTTCTGCCCGAGGTTTTCCAAGATATTATGAGAAATTGTGCGTTCAATAGTTTTGGGGTTGGCAAATGGTGGGGCATTGGTGCAAGTTTCCACTACATGTCACAACGAACCCCATGTCAGGGGATATAGATACAATTACAATCCATTACATATATATATATATACATATTATGTGTATATATATATATACATATGCATACATGTTACTTAGTCTCCGTCCCAACAAAACCCAACTACCCGGGCTGATGAACGCAACTGGTTGACCCCAGCCACACCAAAGATGAACCGGTCGATTCCTTCTATCCAGTGGGTTTGACCACTGCAGAGACATTGCATGGTTATTTTATCTTGATTTTCCAACTTAAAGGAAGTGTGTTTAAAGATGGAAAAAAATACAACTTATCACTTATCACTACATTTTCTGTAGTAGGAATTATGTTTCTATGTTTTTGGGGGTTACTATTTGTATTTCATAAGAATCATCCATACAAACCACATCTGTCCAGATATCCCAGCTCCAAATCTATGGCAGCCCTTTGTGTCCCAGGATGTCAATGCCACCAGAGCAACTGGGTCAATTTCATCATTGTGAGAAAACATTACCCTCTGGTAATTTGTTACATACCTATTGAAAATGGTCATTTATAGTGAGTTTTCCCATTAAAAATAGTGATTTTCCATAGTTATGTTAGTTTACCAGAGGGTACTGGTTGGTGGTTTGGAACATTTGGATTATTTGTTCCATCTATTGGGAAGTTCATCATCCCAACTGACGAACTCCATCATTTTTCAGAGGGGTAGGCTCAACCACCAACCATCAATACACATTATAGGTAAATTACCATCTTTAATAGGTGAATCAACTACTTCTATGGGCCCTCTTCAATAGCGAACTGTCAGTCATTACCAGCGGGTAATGTTTTTTTGGAGAAAGGGTTCATGTTGAATCTCCGGCATCTTGATCAGAGGGATTTTTTAAAATTGCACTCTATTTTTTTGAGGGGAATGGACGGTTGCCCCTATCAAAAAAAGAACAGGATGGCAACAATAATGGGCCCCTAGGGCCAGCGGGATTCAGAAGCAATCAGGATTTTTGATGAAACAATGGCGATTCGAACAGCAAAATCCGGGTATCAGATGATATTTGCCCAGGCATTGTCCAATTTCCAACATTTATATCTTGGGATTGCTGTACTAACCTTGACAAATCCATTTGTGGGTCGCCAAAATGTTAAATTCCTGTCCTCATTTGCACCACATAGTGCTATTTGGGTGAAGAAGGCACATCGTTTTAATTCAACATGAAATGCTGGGACAAATGCAAAAGGAAGATGGAAAAAAGTGTGCAGTAATTAAAAATTGATTCCATCATGTTCGATCTTGATTAGAATTGTAATTGTACTTGGTGGCTCATCCCATGAATCGTAAGTGGGTTAGTTCACCCCAGTGATTGATGTGGATTAACCCGCTCCGAAAATCCCATGTCAATCACTGGGGTGAACTAACCCACTTCCTAAGTCCAGTCGGATGAGTCACCAAGTGGACGCTGATCACTCACTCGGTTAGGTTTTGAAACGCACTCGTTGAGAATTCACAAATTGGATTAGATATTACAAGGTGAAACCGAAGGATAGCTGAACTGACATATATATATAACTGGGTTTAATTGTTGGCTTTATGATAGGATATATGGGGGTTTCCATAAATGGGGAATACCCCAATAGCTGGATGGCTTAGAATGGCAAATCTAATTAAAATGGATGAATTGGGGGTACCCCCATTTTAGGAACTTCCATATAACTCTAGTGGGCCCCCAAAAAACAACCCAAAACGACTCACTTGGGAGCCTTGTACCTGTTCTTTGGGAAAAGATCCTCGTTGTCGGCTATCTTCAGCAGTCGGATCGCCTCCGATCCTCAAGCCACCGCTTTCACACGGCAAAAAAGGCGCTGGGCGTTGTCACCATATTTATACCATACAGGATGGGCCCACAAGATAGCTAAGTTGGTTTATAAATGGCTTAACTATGGTTTATGGTAGATATAACTATAGATAACTATGGTTAATGGGGTTATATGTGATTTCCATGCTACAACTGTGGATTTCCCATGGTTGCTACGTGCCACCGGATGCCCACGATGTTTTTCACCCCCACCAAGGATTTCCAAAGACACGGCCGTGTACAACGCGGGGTTGGAAGCGCTGAGTGCAGGTGGAGAGCGCTCGCGCTGACGTCTTTGTGGGTCTGGATCGGGGAAAAAAAACAAATCTCCAGATATTTTTGGGTATGTTTTGTGATAAACCAAATTATGGTAAAAAAAAACAATATTTTTTGGGGATTTTGACAAAACCATCAATAGTGGCTTTTGGGGATGTTTTGTGGTTGATAGTTTATGATTAATGATGAAATTTAATGGGATATATCATGGGATAATGGTGGTTAATGGTGATGAATGGTGTTTTTGATGTCCCAGGATGAGACTAAAGCATGGTTTATGAAAATTAGGGGGTACTCCTCCAATAGTCATTTCATCTGATACTTTTTTATGGTACCTCCCAATTAAACGGCCCTTTGGGGTTTATTAATCCAGGGTTGACATTAATGTGGGTAAAACAATGCCATAAACCACCCATGACTGGGAATGGTAAGTTTATACCACCTATCAATTCATGGTGATTTTCCTGGGGGATGGTGCAGATGGCATTGGGAATTACCCACATTACCCAAGTCGCTTGAAGTCTACGCACCATCATTGGGAGCGATGAGAGTCGTCTCCCCTGGCGACATTTTTTCGCCTGACTCAGCTCGTTCATCATTCCGAGAATTGGATCGAAGGAGAATCTTGACTAGGTCAACCTTGGATACCCTCTGGTAATTTAACATAGCTATGCAAAATCATCATTTTTAATGGGTAAATCCACTATAAATGGCCATGTTAGTTTACCAGAGGGTAGGTAGTTTAATCCTTCAATCTTCTCCTATAAAGAGGACTATCTACTAACCAGCAAAGAATTGACTTGTTTTGCAGGGTATCTAAGATTGGCAATGGTCAAAATCAGTTTTCTGTTTTTCCCTCTAAAACAACACTATGCATCATTGGCTACAACACTATTGTGCTGGAGAAAGCCAGACTTTGTGTATACGTAGACTCCCATTCTACCGGGATACAGTAACTATCCTATCCATATCTATCCATATCATTGGGTCTTAGCATGGCTAGAAGCTGGGTTGTTCACCTCCTCAAATGGTGAGCAGCTTATTAGGACCCAAAAAATACTGGTAGAGTTCATGAGATGTGCCGCAGTCGATGTGGTAAACCCTATAGTAACACCCCATGTCTTAATGTGTTATGCAATATGTTTGTGTATATATCATATATCATCTATACATATGCATGTATATATATAGATGTTAAATTGATAAAGTTCGATATGTGAGGTTAGCTACCAGGGATGAAGCTTCACTCTCATTGCCAGGAATGTGGCACTGGTCCCTCTCACTGCTTGCAGCGATGGAAAAGAAGAACTTGGCGGAGACTCGGCGCCGGGCCAGCCCTGAGATCATGAAATGTATGGCTTATAGTGGCTCGTATTCTATGTGTGTATTCCATTTTACATCCATATAGTATATGCAAGGTGGTGCTTTGGAAAAGATTGAGTGGTTCTTGTAAAGCCAACGGCAACTCGTTACCATAAACCATAGAGCTACCGGCACCGGCTTAGCTGTCGAGATGGCCCACTGAAGGCACCTAAGCTCGAGCTTAGTCGCCAAATCGTCAAGAAACTCAGTGCTTCTATTTGATTATGTCACTACGTGTTGATTTAATTGATCCATAGCTGTATTTGAAGGCTGGTTTTGAAGCAAAATTAGTGATATCAACCATAAAATCGGGGGGCTACCCTCTGGTAATTTAACATAGCTATGGAAAATCACCATTGTTTATGGGAAAATCCACTATAAATGGTCATTTTCAATAGCTATGTAACAAATTACCAGAGGGTATCTGACCGGATAGCTCGACTAAGTGACAACATATGAGGATTGAACTCAGAAAACTTCGGGCCTCGGAACCAAATCGAGTCATTAAAAATACTTTTGTTGCTGGGTGAATATAGGTGGTTATACTCACTTGCTTTATTGGGAATTATGATCACAAGAATGAAAATGACTGCTCAACCGGTATACTTGAATGGGATAGGGCTATTTTCATGGATGAACTAGTTCTCTTTTCCCCACTGGATTCGTCCCCTAAAAAGGAAATTCATATGGAATTTCCCATCGGAAATACATGCCCTCTGACGTTGAACAACGTGTAGAAAAAGATGTGGTGTTTAACCCAGCATGTAGATCATTTGGCTTCCCGGAAGCCATGTTCCACATCGTACAGTAAACGTAAAAATCCTGGAGTAAGTGTTATAACCTGGTTGGTGGTTTCAAACATGGCTGGATTATTTTCCATTTCATATATGGGATGTCATCCGAAACCCATTGACGAACTCCATCATTTTTCAAGACGGTTTTTTAACCACCAAGCAGTAATATGTTATAACCAAACAACAAGTGCTGATGCAGTTTTAAGAGCTTGGATCCATTGCCATAAAGCTGCTGCATTTCCTGTCGTTCTGTCGCTAATGGCAGGAATGGAATCGTGACTCTCGTTTGACGAAAGTAAAGTGAGGAAAATCTCACTCTCTTGAATCTTCAGAGGACGATAAAACTCTGATCTCACTGAGTGTGTATATATATATATATTATATATATATTATCTATTATATATATATATATGGAATTACATGGAGATCCAAAACATACTAATTTGCGCGGGAGGAACGTCCATTTGCCACCTGCTTTGATGTTCGCCAGGCACCACAGGGTTTTGACCCATCCATGTATACATGTATGTATACATATATATATACATATGTATCTATATTATTTGATATGTATATTAAGTACATATATATATATTATATATATATATGTCTACATCCCAGCTGATTTTTTGGCAGGAATTTTAAATTCAGGGATGAATATTTCTAGCGGAGCACTTCAGCTTAAAGCAACGGACATCTCCGCGTCATCCATTTTGATCGGATTGTCGGATTTTCCATGACAAACCATCTATTCTGGTTGGTGGTTTGGAACATTTTTTGACTTTCCATATATTGTGAATGTCATATTCCCAACTGACTTTCATATTTTTCTCAGGGGTAGGTTGAAACCACCAACCAGATCCATTATTAACCATCATTAATCATCATTAGTCATCATTAAATCACCATTAATCACCATTTTACCATGTGTTTCAGATCTACCTGTATTTTTTTAGAGGTAGCCTCATGGTCCGGAAACCCCCCAGCGACTGCTTGAGCTCGCTCAGGACGTGACATCCTACAGCCTGGTAGCGCAGGCCTGTGTGAATGCTGCGTGCCTTGGCTTCACGACCCAATAAAAAGTTGGAATATCATGGATATTTAGTCGCTAAAAAATATTTAGTCCTTTAATATTGGATCAAGTAATCAGTGCTTTAGATTTACCATCTGGTTATGACTAACATAGCCATGGGAAATCCCTTAAAAATGGAGGTTTTAATAGGTAAACCATCTATAAATGATATCCAGAGGGTAGTACTCCAAAAAAGTGAAAAATGCGGTATACTGGGTCAACCTTGGTTGGATACTTTAGTACCTACCATCTGGTTATGACTAACATAGCCATGGAAAATTGCCCATTTATAGATGGTTTTCCCAGCTAGAAACCTCCATTTACAAGGGATTTTCCATGGCCATGTTAAATAACCAGAGAGTAAATCTTTTGCGATCAAAGCTAAAGATTAGGTTCTCTGGCAGGTATCAAAGATTCACCATGTATACTGGGATATTCTTGGATATCATGAGAGATCATGGGATAGAATGGAATGCAACCCCTAGATAGGTAAGTTGGTTGAATTAAGTGCATTAAGTGGAGTTTATGATAGATATGCAGTTGGATGAGTTAATAAACCAACTTATAGCTTTAGGGTTCCTTCTCACACGATGTAGCCCTGGCAGAAAGATGGCTGGGGATCAAGCAGCTATTTATTTTTGGTCAAAACAACATGCAAATGTTGCATGATTCATCTCGAACAGACATGGAAATTTAGGCAAGCAACAAAAACGCGGTCACAGAGGAGTCAGCCAATAGAAATGGGGAATAAAACAGTATTCCATCTGCGATGGTCTGATGGATTGACGGGATACTTCCTGAAGGTACCGGCAAATGATTGGCACCTCCGGGTTTTTACCCAACAGGGCAGTGAAGGTGGGATATAAACAAGCCACTGACCACCTACTCTGCCGGATCATCCAGGTCGGGACTGAATAGCGAAGCAGGGACGTCCAGCCAGATGTGAAGAATAGATTGAATAAATATGAATAGATCACCCTGAAATATCTATAGAATCTATAGTCTACAGATGTCTACAGTAGTCAGGAACCACTATGACTGTGATCCAATGATCAGCCAGATTGTTCAGCATTTCACTTGATCCGGATGACCGGATGGACAGGGTGGAAGCAACCCCGGGATTGATCCGAAACGAAACTTAAGTTTCGAGTTGCCGAAACGAGACTTGCCACTGCCGAAACAGCCGAAAACAGCCAAGTTTCATGGCACTTGCTGAGAGAATTGCGTTTTATATGACCTTTTTGGCTTCCATCCAAGTTGGTAAATCCAGCCATGGATTTGGACCAAGTCTGCATCCGCAATTTCTCATTCGGGGAGAGCATACGAAAAAAGAGGTAAAAAGGCCATTTTTGGCTGGTGAAGGGTAAATCGGGTATGTGTTTTTCTTGCATTACTGTAAGCATGGAATACTGGAAATGTAAACGTGATTAATCAATATTAATCATGAACATTACACGCCATTTTTAGAATATCAACCTCCAGTGACTAGCATAATCATCACCCATGAAATTACTTCCATTTAGCCACTTAGCGACCAACATGGATCATAGGGGGGTTCCCCATCCCAAAATTCCGGCGTTGTTGGCTAAACATGACCCATGGATTGCGGGCTCATTGCTATCCCATGGTTGACCCATGATAAAAGGAACAACTGCTTCATGTGAAAAAGATGATGCTTCCCCAATTTTTTCCAAACCCTATATAGTCTCTATGGTGTATACATATGTGTTATATATATATACATCATATATAATATATAATATGTGGTTTCCAGTTTCCAACACCTATCTATGACATTGGGTTGCCATAGAACGAATCCATCTTCAGCACCGAAATTCTGACCAGGCAATGGCTGAGGGCGCAAGACTTCTTGAGCCGCTTACAGACGCTGGGCGATTTTTGTTTGGGAGAGGGGCAGAAGTTGAACCGCCCCAACCATAGAAGAGTTATTTCAGATTAATATGGTGAGGTTTTATGAGATTAATATAGATACATATCTGGGAATGATGATTTTACTGGATTTGATCTAAGCAAAGAAAATGGTGGTTTCATAAAGATATCCATGGAGAAATTCTGGAATCATGACGAGCTCACGTCGAAGAGAAAGTGACGAGTATCCCCCCAATCATAGGGTGTTCAATGATGTTAAAAGATTGTCTGTTTGGTGGCTTCAAACATGGCTGGATTATTTTCCATTTCATATATGGGATGTCATCCTTCCCGAATCCTTCCCATTGACGAACTCATATTTTTCAAGATGGTTAAGTCACCACCACCCAGATGTTGGATCCATCCTTTTTCTCTCTCCAAAACTGGTTGGTGGTTTGGAACATTTTTTCCATTCAGTTGGGAATGTCATCATCCCAACTGACTTTCACTCCATCATTTTTCAGAGGGGTAGGTTGAAACCACCAACCAGATGTACCATCTGGTTATTTAACATAGCCATGGAAAATCACCATTTTCAATAGGTAAACCATCTATAAATGGGCCATTGTGACACTGCATGTGTTTCAGATCTACCTGTAGCACCATGTAGCCATTGGGAGCAAACGCCACAATCAATGGCTGCGCTCCCAAGGTCGTTTGCTCTTTGCCAGCCGAAAAAGAGACTTCTGAGCTCGATGTGCACAGGGTGTGTCCATAGCTTGAGGTGGTCATGAAATTCTATGGTAGGTGGCAGCCATAGACACAAACCCAGGTTTTTTCACGAGTTTTTTCGAGGCAAAAAACGTGGACACGTACACACATCCCAGTCAAATTCTGTTTTAAGCGGAGTTCAGATCACTGCCAATCACAGTGTATATGAGGTTCGGCATAATTGTTGGTGAATTGACCATTGATGGCGCTGATATGCCGATCGACATGAAATCCCCCGTGGGAAAGCGCCATAGTCACCATCCCGACTCCCCGACTGGATTGGTAGAAACTCATCCTGAATCGTTTTTTGCGAAAATAACCATCCAAGCAGCAAAAGATGACATTTTTTGGGTGGACTACCTTTATTTAGATTGACCATGCTTAGGTGCTGCATGGGGTTCGAACCGTTCAGTGGGGTCGCTTAGTGCTGTGTTGGGATTAACGTGGTCGACGCAGAATGGTTACTGTATATTAGTGGTTGTAGTACTGGTAATATTAATGATATATGGGATATTTATGACCCATATGAAAAGGACCATCCATGGTATGGTTTGCCCCCCGTGGCCTAGCCGTGGAGGTGTCGTTCGCTGGGAAAATCATCGAACTACCCTCTGGTAAACATACAAAAAGCTATTGAAAATGGCCATTTATAGTGGATTTACCCATTAAAAATGGTTTCCACGGCCATCTTTGATTCCCAGAGGGTAGCCATCATGTTTGGACATGGGGTATACGGTATACCTGCATCTCCAATCATTAGAATTTAAGTGGAGGAAAGTATAAACCATGGGATTTATGTGGCATCATAGTCAAATGTTGTGGGAAAAGCCGTAGTCCAATTTTGACATTGCCATTTTGGGGGCTATGCCGCTATGCTCATTTTCAGACACTAATAAATACACTAGGGGTCTGGCCAATGATAATGACAAGCCATGAGGGGAAGAATCAAGGAACTATCATTATAGGTACAGTAACTACAGTATAATCAAAGAATATGATATTTGTAATTTACTGTATCATTTTACAATTTACTCTATCATGAAATATCATTGGTTTGCAGTACTATAATTACTATCATTATCAGTAAATTATCAAAGATATAATCAGTAAATTGTAATTACTATCATATTATCGTTATATCATTATAAGTACTATTGGTAATAATTACTATCATATTATCATTATACCATTTAAAGTACTATTGATAATCAAAGAATCTAATAGGTACTTAAAATAAATGGTAATAATTGATAATATGATAATCAAAGAATAATTAATCTATTAAATAATTACTATCATAATCTATTAATCTTTTGATAATCAAAGAATCAATGATCATGATAAACCGCAAGCCAGGTCTTGGAGAATCGCGCCTAGCGGGTATTTTCATGTCCCAGCCACTGGAGTAGAAAAAATGGCCCCTGATTTCTCAGTTAAAAAAGGAAACATGATGATCTATGGTTAATCTATGGTTAATCTATGGTGAATCTATGGTTAATAATGGTTAATAATGGTTAATAATGGTGAATCTATGGATAATATCATCAATAAATCTGGGTAAATTTAATAACGACCTCACTGTTCTCCCTCACTGGAAATCATGGTTTTTATAGGGAAATCATCCCCAAATGGCCGCACTATTCAGGTTAGTGAAATATTATAATTTGCCCAGTGATGATCAACCATGAGATTTTGGAGGCTTCTCTTAAATTCTCAGACAAACCCAACAAAAAGGATCGGTTGGGGCAGCGCTGGTATTGGTTTCTTGAACCGGCTCAAGCGATGTTCCTTTCCGTTTCAGAAGCTTTTTGCGAGAGTAAATGCCTGAAAACTCAAGTATTTCAAGTGCCAAGGTATTAGGTCAATCTTAGATGGGGTGAATTTAATCCTTTAGTCTTTGATATCAATGGGAATATCTACTAACCAGCAAAGTTTTTTTTTGCAGGGTATCTAAGATTGGCAATGGGTAGATGATTTTCCTCCAAATCCCATAGAAAAACCTCAGTTGGTTCAACATTATTTCACCAATTCGGCTGAATTCTCTGTGGGCGAAATGATTTCACCAATTTTCAGGTCTTTTCTTCCTGGATTCTGGCGAAAAATTGTCATTTTCTATGCGATTGGTGGTTTGGAACATGAATTTCATTTTTCCATTTCATATATGGGTTGTCATCCTTCCCATTGACTTTCACTCCATCATTTTTCAAGATGGTTAGTTAAAACCACCAACCAGATCCATTATTACCCATCATTAACCATCATTAAACCATTGCTATGCGAAAATCTGCATTTTTCCAAGCAGAATCCACATCCCCAGAGTCTCAGTTCGCTATCGGCTCCAGGGAGCTGCGCTGCCCGAAGATCCACTGGCGTGAAGCGCTGAGTCACCGTGCCATCATGGGAGAAACAGCCACAAAATAGAACGTCCAGTTTGAGCATTGAACCTTATATATACAAAAATATTTATATATGTGTGTATATATATATATATTATATATATATATATATTATACATATATATATATGTAATTATATATGTATATACAAATATACTTCATGTTCATGGCTACTCTGGATCATGATCATCCCGTGCCATTTAGGCCATTTCTTCATCCAAGCTCCAGGCCCTTGATCCAGGCCATCAGAGGTACAAAGTGGGGCCCCCGTTTACGATAGCGTTCAGTTGGTGAACATAACTCCAATGTCACTATGGTTTATGGTACTTATAAACCAACTTATGACTTATTACTTCACCCCATTAACTATACTTATATCTACCATTATAACCCCAGTTATAAGTTGGTTTATAAGCCGGTTTATAAGTACCATAAAGGTATACTTATTGGTTTATAGTTGGTTATAATGGTATACTTATAAAATAACTATAACTTATATCTACCATTATTCACCCCATTAACTATATCTACCATAATAAGTATAAGTATAGTTAATGGGGTGAATTCTATGGTTTATGGTAGATATAAGGAACTAGTTCATGGGGGGTATTTCATGGCTTATAAACCAACAAACATAACTGGGACCCATCCCGTATAGGATGGTTTGATGAAGCCATTAATCTGGTAAATTATCACGACCTCACTGCGACCTCACTATAATCATGGTTAAGGGGAATCATGCCCAAGACAGCCGAAAATTTCAGGCTCCATTGCAAAGCCACCCAAGAAGCCAGGGTTCAACATTCTTCTATTTGCCAGCAATTGGAAGAAGCTGAAGACATGCAACTTGCCTTTCCATTAGCTTATAAATCACCGGAAGACCAGTTTTTGCAAGATATGCTCTATCGCATCCCTGAGCCACACCTTGAGATGCCAAATGCCCCCAAACCAACTTGGGTGTACACAGATGGTTCTTGCTATTTACCTAACAGCCGAAGATATAGATGGTCTGCTTTTGCAATCGTGTGTCCAGCAGTGCCAATGCAAGCTCTACTGCAGTTGACCCAGACTCAACCTGAGGTTCTGCTCAGGAAAGCATATCATGAAATCGCAGTTTCAATAGTTCCAGGTAAGCAGACAATCAATCGAGCAGAACTATTTGCAGCCGTTCTGACGCATGAACAACAAATGAACGCGGTAGTGGTTACTGACAGTGCCTATGTCATCAATATGCATTCACTGGTTTGTCAAACGCGTAATGTCATGATTCTGCATAAACTGCCCAACTGGGACTTACTGAGAAGACTTCACCACTTGTATTGGAGATGTGATTACGCATTGCCGCACCTCAAGATCAAAGCTCATCAGAATATCACCACTCAAAGTGCAGATGAAGTAATCCATATCTTGGGAAATCGTGCAGCTGATGAAGCCGCCAAACAAGCAGCCAAGCACCAAACGACGATTGTTACAAAGGACTTGCGCAGACTACATGCTGAATCAAGGACAGAACAACAGAACCTTACTGCACAGTATGCTTTAAGAGTAGATCTGGTTGTTAAACGCACCCGACTGGATAATGAAATTGAAACTACAAAAGCACCTGAAAGACAGATGGAACGCCTGGAGCAGATGCACAGCTATATCGTTGAGCACAGCCGTAAGTTTTCTTTCACAGAAGAGGATTTTCATAATGCGCGCAGCAGTAAATTTGGGAGACGCACTACGCATTTGCTTTTACAATGGCTTCAACAACTCGAATGGCCTACATCACCGGAGGAAGTTACACCACCAATTGGGATTACATGGGTTGAGCTGACCGTAAATTTCATGCTTTGTTCACAATCTTCAGTTCCGGTACAACCTCATCAAGAAGAACAGGGATTTACTATTCGAACCAACACCTTTCGCAATATCATTATGCATGTGCAGTTCCTCGTCAACAAAGAAATCATTCCTAAACTTACACCTGTAAAGGTCAAATCACTTTATCAACTGGGGGCAAAGGTGCTGAAACAAGGGCTACCATTGCGTCCAAAACTTCCACTATAAGATGAAACTTTGGAAATCTTGCAAAAATACCTCAGGGAGCATGGCCAAAATGGCAAGGCCTGCTTCACGGCTATGCCTCACATTCCGTTAATGAATCCGGTTGTTACAACTGACTTGGATGAGACTTCTGAATTTACTCAGACAGATCGCCAAAAACTGTACAGAGAACGCAGACAGCAGATGAAGGACGAGAACACCAATCTGGAACTTGCTGCCGACGACGATTAAATCTGTCAAAACGATGGGTATTTTAGCTAGCCAACAAACTGCGATGACCTGTGAACATCACAGGGGGAGTGGGATAACCTCTTTAGTAGTACTGGCCTTTATCTGTAGCATTGCTAGGAACCGAGGTGGTGGGTCCATCAAGCCTCTGTTGATCGCCAGTGTTTAACATCAAGGACTGTGTGGATGGGATTAGAGATGGTTTTAGTTCATGATAGGACCCTTCGCCTGGTCCCTCATTGACTATGGACGCAGTCTTCTCTTGCAGCTGCGGGGGGAAGGCTGTGGGCGCAAGCGTGTGAGCCGAACATTTCAGGTTTGTACAAACCTCCGTGTGTATATACTTGGTGGCTCATACCACTTACTAATTAAGTAGATTATGACCCTAGTCATAAGTGGATTAATGTGGGTAAAACAATGCCATAGACCACCCATAACTGGGAATGGTAAAGATTACATACCACCTAAAAAAAATGTGATTTGGGTACACCCCATATTCACCATAAAACGGTTTTACATGGTTGAGGTATACTACCCCTTATGTGGTATTTATAGGTTATTATGTTACATATATCAACCATACACCCCATATCAACCATACTATACCGTTTTTTGTTTAAACAGAATATGGTTTATAATGATGATCAATGTGAAACCACTATTAATGTATTTGTGGGTTTCATACAAAAAAATAATGTGAATATGGTAATATCATTGGTGTAGAACAATTCAACAACATTCAACAACTATAAAATGTTTGATCATATGGGTTACTAATGGTTAATAATGATACTATGTTTTGAGTTTATTATAATCATGGCTTAATGGAATATCAAGCGATAGATGATGGTTTACAACTATCAGTGATTAATCACTTCCATTCATATTAAGCAGCCATAAACATCCCCCAAACCCATGGGTTTGGGAGATGAAATCACAAATATTAGCGGAACGGGATTCGAAAAAAAAAAAAAGTGCCAGCCTAACCCTACGGAAATCCACGGAACTGGGGTGAAGTGACCCAGTCACTGACTGGGAAGAGCCATGTGATGTTCACAGAAAATACGACGAAGCCTGGCCAATCTCAACGATGTCGAATCAATTCCTTCAATTTCACCATACAAAAAGGGCCCAAGAAATCGGCGGGCTCAGCCGATTTAGGCCTGCCAGAAGCGGCTTTGGACAGGATTTGGACGATAAAAACTGTATTTAAGCTGATGAACCCACAGAGCTGATGGGAATATACTTGCAGATTTCGGGGGCGCAATCCCGTCATTCACAGGTGCCATTGGAATTTTCCTCGCTAAGACATTGGTGGGGAAGCCCAGCAAAGAGGGTATGGTGGGATGCAAAACTGTTGCCAGATGAGCATGGGTCAAAGCTTATGGCCCAGAAAACCATCGAAAACTCCGTTGATTGTGGTTGGTTTTTGGTATTTACCATGAATTTTGGGGGATAATATAACCCATAGGATCCATGTAGGGTATATATGCTAACATTTGGGGTATATTGATGGTAAATGTTACCATATATAGCATACATGGATCCTATTGGTAATATGATAATATATTTCGATAAAATGCAGTCTGGATGAATTATGTCGCGACCTCCAGTGAACGCTTTTCGTCACTGGATTCGAATGGTGACTGGCGAATCAAATGGCCAGATACTTGCAGGATGGGGCCCCCGTTGGATAGTGTTCAGTTGCCTTATAAGTGGTTGAATTAACTCTGGTTTATGGTAAATATAACGAAATGTTAATGGGAGTTATAATGGTTTATAAACCAATAAACATAACTGGGGGGGCCCCATCCTGTGGTACCTTGGAGTGCAGGTGGGATTGTTCACAATCATGGCTATTTTCCGGGAATCCCACAAATTACCTATACTAATTCATCGCAAAAAAAATGGACAATATTTCTGGAATTGTGGAAATTTGCATCCCAATACTGGTTGGTGGTTTGGAACATTTTATTTTTCCATAATATATGGGATCATCCTTCCAATTGACTTTCATATTTTTCAAGATGGTTAAAACCAACCAGTAGTAGTCTTGGTATGTCTTGGTGAACTTTGTTTTTATGGGTGATATAGCTGGGGTTTATAAACCAGTAAGCAACTTAACCACCATCAACCATCAAAATTGGGGATTTCATGGATTTTTCCATAATATATGGGATAATCCTTCCCATTGACTAATATTTTTCAAGATGGCTGAAACCACCAACCAGCAATACGACTTTAAGGTTTTTTCCACGCGGAGAATATGGTTCTCCCCTCGCCATGTCAGACATGTCAGGTGTGAGGTCATTGGCAACAACATCTTGGCGGAGTTCTGGCACATGTTCAAGGAGGCTCCACGAAAGGTTAAAGAAACCAATGGTTAATAATGGGTATTAGATATATCTATATACCACTTAAAACCAATTATAGTTTATTAATAATGCTTATTTTGGTGAATAAATAGTTTTTTGACAGTTAATAATGGTTAGTAGAAGGTATACGAAGGTTTCCTAAAAAGGGCTTACCCCTAGTTATCATCCATTTATAGATGGATTTTCCCATGTGGGGTACCCCATTTATATCCATTTATGGAACCCCCCATTTATGTCGTATTGTTGATTACTTGGTGGCTCATTCCATTCAGTAGGCCATGTCCTGTGGTGCCCCCCCAAGTTATAAATGGGTTGTAATCCCATGAAAACTAGTTCGATATATCACCTGTAAACGATAGTTATTGGACTTATCGGCACCAACTTAGCTAATGAACTGGGGCACCACCCTGCAGACCATCTCCTGTGTTGCAGCCCAAAATATATGTTTGATTTGCGGGGATTGACCCACAACAAAAAGCTACAAATTATGGCGATAGCGACCTCGCAAGTGTCACCATAGATGATGATGATGATGATGATGATGATGATGATGATGATGATGATGATGATAGGGTGAGGCCACTAGATAGCTAAGTTGACTTCTGATTTAGCCTACTTATATAAAGGGCTATGGGGGATGTAACTATAGGTAATGGGGGTTATAAAACAACTTATTACTGCAGGGGCCTCACCTGTGCAATCCAAGGGGAATCGTCCCAACATATACAATGGCAAATAGCCCAAGTCTCTGAAGCTATCGTAGATTCCTAGATGGACCGGGGGAACAACAACAACAACAACAACAACAAAAACAAAAACAACAACAACATATCCCGGCAAGAAACCCCAAACAGTGTGGGGGTAGGAGGATAATGTATGATAATGTTGATGATGATGATTGTGATGATGATGATGATTGTGATGATGATGATGATCATGATGATGATGATGAAGAGGATGCTGCGGACGATGATGTTGAGGATGATGATGAAAAGGATGATAATGTTGCGGAAGATGAGGTGGAGGAGGAGGATGTTGCGGAAGATGAGGTGGAGGAGGAGGATGTTGCGGAAGATGAGGTGGAGGATGATGAAGTTGAGGAAGATGATGATATTGAGAATGATGATGATGATGATGAGGAGGAGGAGGAGGGGGAAGATGATGATGTGGGGGATGATGATGATCAGGAGGGGGACCGATCCCAAGACCTAGGACCACACTTTGCATGAGCCTGCACAGTGGAAATGCACGTCAACATGTCACAAGAGCCACTTTTTACGGAAATGTATAGAAAAAAATGCCGCGCCCCAGATTGAGCCCAGAACGCGGACACATACTTTGTTCGAGCCTGCGCAGTCAAAATGCATGTGGTGATTTCACAAGAGCCACTTTATACGGAAATTTACAGGAAAAATGCCGCGCCCAAGCGTGAGCACCCTGATGAAGCACCGACCTTTACTACTACCATAAGAACTCCTCAGTGTGGACACACTGTTTGGCGAAAAACTATATGATCCACACTTTGGCCCCCAGCCCCTCGAATTTCAGCGTTGCCTTCTGGTGAATGGATGGCGTCGACAAAGAAAGCAAGCCTTCAACACAAACCAATGTATCTGATCGTGTCCAACGTTAAAATATGGCGGTTTCCTGAAATGGGGGTGCCCCTGGTTATCATCCATTTATAGATGGATTTTCCATGAAATAAACCAACCAGCTATTGGGGTACCCCATTTACTTGGTGGCTCATCCCACTTAGTAAGTGGGTTATCACACCAGTTACAAGTGGATTAACCCTGCTTATCCCATTTATAACTGGGATTTTAACTCAGTTACTAAGTGGGACGAGCCACCAAGTATGAAAACCCCCATATGGCTTCTTAGTTGGCTTCAGGTGGTTTTCCAGAATCCCATGGAATTTCTTCACGTGGAAAACTCGTCGTTGTCAGGGATTAAAAGCGCTTGAATCAAAAACTAATTATGCAAATCTAATCAAACAATATGAGGATATTTCTTAGGTAATCCTGTGGGTGATTTAGTACCTACTCGTACCAGTATTTTGCTGTAAATGGGGATATGTGGACCTGAGAAGCAAAAAAATGCTCGGCATTCAAGATTGGCAATGATTTTTCATTGACAGTAACAGTTTTACCCCTGTGCATACCAAGTATATCCCTTTAGGAATCATGATGTATTTTTATTACCTAGTACAAAGCGGAATTTATTTTTATATTTACACATTAGCAATGATATATACTATGAGTTTTCTGAACTATGTATATCATTTACACATATTTTTACATTATCAATGAGATATATCCTGAACCATTGTTTTTATATAATGTATATATACTATGAGTTTTATATATGTAGCATGAACCTTATAGATTATGAATTACGTATATTTTGAACGTTATAGAGGATGAATTGTACAAATTTTGAATCATACATACATACATACATACATACATACATACATACATACATACATACATACATACATACATACATACTTACATACTTACATACTTACATACTTACATACTTACATACATACATACTTACATACTTACATGCTTACATGCTTACATGCTTACATACTTACATACTTAAATTGAAATATAGAAGTCATATGAATGATTTATTGGGATATTTATATATATATATGTATTGTAATTATGAATATATATATATATTATTTATTTTTATATGTATATCTATATGGTATGAATATATTTATATATATATATATGTTTTTTTCCCGAAATATGATTGGTATCGCCATAGATTTATCCATTGGGGTTTATGCTTACCCATTCGTAGATCATATCACCAAATCTTTATGGTTTGCATATGTTTCAATACCAAAAACATCACATGTAAAAATATTTGACCACTGGTAAATCACAAAACCTATATTATATTATATCCCTGCCTTTTCATACGACTACAAGGTAAGTTATGCGTTGTGTATACAAATCCGGTGAAGAATTACTGTGGTTCTATGCCCTATAAACCCAATCATTGACCAATTTATCAACTTAGCTATCGATGCTATGAGGACTTCACCTCGTAAGCATCCCAACAAAATCGCCCTCTCGCCATAATTTGCACCGGAATTTTTGTGGGGTGATATTCCACTTCATAAGCATGGCACCGTAGCCTACAAGGTGGTGCCCCCCCAAGTTATAAATGGGTTATAATCCCATTAACTAGTTCGATATATCACAAAAACCATAGTTATTGGACTTATTGGCTTCACCGTTGCACACTCGCCAGCTAATGAGACTGATCGCAGAGGGTTGTCAGGAGGAGTCGCCATCATCATACCCTGTACCTTCCGACTGCTGCAAGAAAAGGAGGTTCTTCCAGGCAAAGCAATAGCAGCCCAGGTACAAACGAGAACTGATCAATTTTGGATCTTGTCCATATATTGCCACCCTCAGACGGTGCGCGCTGATTGCGAAGCTATTGCCCATTGGCTACACATCAACTGTACGGGTGATGATCCCTGCTTTCTCCTTGGAGATTTCAACCAAGGCGATACGCTCTTCCCGGACATTTGGCGGCGCATCACTGAGTATGCACAGGGAGAGGACATCATGGTCGACCAACCCACTTTTTGGGGCCCTAATGGGACGTCCTCCTTGGACAGGGTAATACTGCCGATTGAATACATGGACAGAGGATTGATACAGCATCCAGCATCAGGTCTTTTATGACCGGCAATTTGAGTCCTTGGGGCATGCCACCATTACCATTCGGTTAAACCATCGACCCCCTGTTATTAGCAGCTCTGATTTGCCCACCCATATGACTATTCCAGCTAGCGTCTTCCAACCAGGCAAGGATCAGCACGACTCACGTAAAGTATGGCCTTTGTTACAGTCCCTCCTCAGACGAATTACTCTAGTGGCTCGCACCAACTTAGCTAACGAACTGGGGCACCACCCTGTATTCATTCATATGACATCATATGATAAAATATTCCCGCATGATACACCAACGATCCAAACCCATCATACAATCAGCACGACACGTCGAAATGCCAGGCTCGAGCCAGCTTCACAGGCTATGGCACGGCAGCTGGAGATGAACTGATGCTGGAGAACGTACCTGGATCGCGAGAAAAAAAGGGGAAATCATGGAAAAAAAATGTGGATTTGGACAATTTTCTGGAGAAAGTATGGATGATTTCACCGATACAAGGAATTTACCCATGAAGGAGGAAACAACAAAAGTTGTGGGATATCAGGGATACTATGTGATGGGGATTCTGAGGTGCCTAAGGGCCCCTGGAGTGATGTGAGGCGATGTGTTGCTTCTATGATACCCAGTTCAGCACCCAAAGCAGCTTGGCAAACCCCCAAAAAGTCTCACGAAATTAAACTCCGACTAAATTAGAAAATTACTTGTCCATACCTGTTCATCTTTTTGGGGTTGAATATGCTAGAATGATTTCTCCTCGGATTACCACCATGAATCTATGTCGAATCACATGTATTGAAAATATGAGTGAAAGTAGGTTACCCCCCAGATCTTGGCTTCCATCATAGGTTCGTGGCGAAACGTGGCAGAACCAGGTTCTCAAATGTTGATGCAAATCCGCGTGAAATGTTTCTGAATGTATCATGGTAAACCCAAAGAAGACAGAAAGGTAGAATCCTACTCAAAACGTGATCCATCATGATAAAGCAATGTTCTATCTTCTGGCGGAGGCTACTTCAATCATATAATTTCTCATGTGTAGATATGTGATATACTCATGTGTAGATATGTCAATGGTTGAGACCAGATGCCAATTGATATGTCCTCCTCATACCATTTCATGATTTTGTCGTGTCTTATCTGTGATCATCCATTATCATCAGTTTGCAGATTTATACATTTACAGACATCACGATGCATATACATACGTATTTATATATATATATATACATACACATGAAAAATAATATATACCATATACTTATTATGTGTGTTTGCTGAACAGTATGCATACCTGCACACAATAAGAACCAATCAGCCAGTGAGTTTGATTTTCCCAAGTGAAGCAACCATCTAAGGCACCGGCAGAGGGGTTCAGCCAATGTTTGTTGCTGCTGCTTGGTCGATGTGATACAACTGGAAGTTTGGGGCTGGACACGGATGGAAAATTGACCTATCCCTAGGTTTGCTCTATTCAAGTGCAACCTGTCTTCTGCAGCATTTTGCCATCTTAGTCATCCCCGCGACAGAAGCTATGTGTGATTTGATGCCCTTGGTGACCAATTTCTGTTGGTTAAACCACCACTTCTTCGTTAAAACAACAACGTTGTTGCTTCAAACCAGCTAAAGCCTCCATGTTTTTTTGTTTGCAGGACCCCATTTTTGTTGCTAACATGCTGGCTGCACAACCATACTTGCTCATCCTAGTTTGTAAGTGGGCTATAACGTACAAAAAGTCCACTTATAACTGGCTCAATCATCCGCTTACTAACTGGGACGAGCCACCAGGTAAAGCTTCATGTTTTTGACATCTTAAACCCCCCCCTGAGGCTTGATCGTCAGCCTCGAATCGCAGCGTCGCAACGGGACAGGGCCCCCAGGGCCCCCAGGGCCCCCAGGAAGTCGCAACGGTGACCCGCAACGGTGTCTGAAAATGGTTTCAGTATACCCCCCAAATGGATCTAAATGGTAAGTTTTGATCGGGAAGATGATGGAAAATGATGATCAATCATCCATTTTTGAGGTCTACCATTTTCAGATTCAGACAAACCTATATCCATCGTATGGTCGGTGAAATATCTCGTTAAACCGTTAAACTGAAATATGACCATATGATGAATGTCTTAAATTATAGAGATAAATTGGGATGTAATTGTAACTAAATTACCTGTAACCCATATTGTCTATATCCCAATTTTTAGAGGATGGGACCTTGATTCCCATCATCTTCCCATAGCGTTGGGGTTTCTTGGAGTGCGGGGCCCATCATTCCGGGCACAATTCCACTGTCAAATTCCTCTATTTTTCTACCATATGGTTGGAAGTTACCCATGATCCATTTACAGATAGTTTTGAAGACATCTGAAATATCATTGAGAATTCATATCGCTACGTGTCCATAAATTATTCCATGTGATTTCCCATAGCCAAGTAGCCAAGTTTTTGTGGTGTTTCTTTCTCACCACACCTGGGTCTTAGGTCCTTGGTGTGGGCCGTGTGGCTGTAAAGCTGCGTGGCGGCGCAGTGCGCAGTGGTCAGGCGTGCTGTGGTGTGGGCCCCTTTCATGATGGCGGGTCTGTTGGTTTATACTTACAATCAATGGGAATTCCAGGATCCTAAAATGGAGGTACGTTAGTACCATAGAAGGCCATATTTTGGGTGTATATTCCCTTACATAGGCCTTATATATATATATATATGCCTTATATATGGAATCGGTACCTCCAATAAATCGGATCCTGTTGCATGGCCATTGATACAATATGGTGTCATCATATGTGGCAACGGAAAATCCGACAGAAATGGAGGCTTTCATGAGAACAGTATCTACAAATGGATATACCGATATATACCGTATACCCTCTGGTTATTTAACATAGCCATGGTGTAGATGGCCCATAGAAATAGATGATTTTCCCAGCTAGAAACCTCCATTTATGGTTGGGATTTTCCATGGCTATGTTAAATAACCATATGGTAAATGTGGAAACTTCCATTGCCGTGTTTAATACCGGGTACAATGCGGTGCCTTCAAAAAACGTTAAATGTGTGTTGTTTTCCAAAGCCATCTAGTTAGTTCAATATGTCAACCACAAACAATAATAGTTAAACTATATGATTAATGGTGATATTAATTACCACAAACCATAGTTAAACTAATGATGTATGTGAACGAAGCCTCAGCAAACTATGGGGAAGGACCTCGCAGGTCAAGGATTTATGGTTGAACATACTTGGATGGTATGATTATGCACAAGGTGGCGCCCCGGTTAACAGATCAACTGTTGGATGGGTTTTCCCTTAGAGATAAATCTATAGTTGGCTGTTTTTTTTCCATCCTCCCTTCGGGGGATAGTGGTTTTGAGGTTGGTAGTGTAGACTACCTATATATCCAATATGCTCAATGTATAAAGGATACTGATCTGCATGCGGTTGATTTTTTGTTAAGGTGTATTGGGTAAACCTTGGCTGGATGGACGTAGCAGTCCAAAGCTTCAGGGTATTTAAAATCGGTCATCTGATCATGATGTACACAATGCATAGATCATTAAACTTCTAGACTGCCAAAGAGATATTATATATATATATGTTTTTTAGAATTTCAGCAAACACCAAAGGATCTTTGATATCCAAGAGTTACCATGATGTTTCGATATTTGAAAGTTGATTTCCGAGCTGATTTCGCCGTCCATTTGCCAGGTGAAGAGCCTTCCTGGCACGTTTTTCTGCCTGTCCAGCGATGGGGGGTTGTGTGAAAAGTGCTGGAAACCTTCAAAATCTCATTGCATTTCACTATCTTGGGGCCCCATCCTGCATGATATTTCACCTCATTATCATTGGAAAACCATCCAAAGGGCAGCCATGGTTTGGGGTAAACCACCCCATTCCAATGGTGTTATCATGGTCATATCGCCATGAAATGTGGAAATATGTTGGGCTTGCCGCCCCGGAAATCTTCGTTAGATCACCATCATTTCTTGTCATGCTCCCAGCATATTCTCTCTGATGGGATTCCTTTCAAGCGTTTTTCATGCTTTGATATTGCATTCAATCCCGTTAAATCCCACTATGCCCCAACAGTTCCTAGTTTAATCCTTAATGGTTGACGGTGAGCCATTGTTTTGAAGTTATATCCCATCATTTCCCATATCCCCATATTATTCCCATGATATTCTTATTAAATAACTAATGGTAGGATCTATCGTCAATACTTCTTGACTCTCCCAGTAAATTGCAGTCAATCAAAATTAGACCTCATTAATTACCCTTAATTCAATCTAGTGGAACTTATCGTAGTCAAAGTTGGTGAGGGATATATTAACCCTACTTATCCCACGGAAAAAACGGATGATATAAGCTACCTGGGATTCGTGGGATGAGCCAGCAAGTACAATTATCATTTCTTAATATGTTGTTACTACCATTGGTATACCAAAGTCAATATGCATATACCATTATATACCATTTAATGGTTATTATGGACATACCTCCATACATGCAATACCATTGAATATGCATATACCAATGTTCTTAATATTCCTCAGTATCTGATATAGATTTAATGGTTTAATGAGTTTAATTGTTAGGATGTGCATACCATTGGATATCTGATTGCTTCTTTCTATTCCATCATTAGTAAATTGCGATATCTCCAGAATATACCATAAAGTATTAATCATTATTAACCATTATTATGACCATAAATTAGCCATAAATGACTTGATATTCCATTCATTCGCCATTATTAACCACTGGGTGGTGGTTTCAAACATGTTTTATTTTCCAGAATATATGGGTTATCATCCTTCCCGTTGAGTAATATTTTCAAGATGGTTAAAACCACCAATTAGACCATTATTAAGTATGATTAACCATTATTATTCTCATTTCCCCCATGAATTCCTGGTGACATCCCTTAGACCGCCAGGTCTCGGCTATGTCGGCAGCTTCCTCTCGGAGTTTTCAGCAGCTTTGGAGGTGGATGTTTTTCCCCACCTGCCAGGTGAGGGTTGTTTGATTTTATGTCAGTTGCCTGCTCCTCCTCTCCTCTCCTCTCCTCATCTCCTCTCCTCCTCGTCGTCCTCCTCGTCGTCCTCCTCGTCGTCCTCCTCGTCCAACTGCGACCCGCGATCCACAGTGTTCTCTGTCGGACCTCAACCACGACCATCCACGCCCAGTGTGCCCTGCCGGACCTCAACCACGACCATCCACGCCCAGTGTTCCCTGCCGGACCTCAACCGCGAGTATCCGGGCCCAGTGTTCCCTGCCGGACCTGAACCACGACCATCCACGCCCAGTGTTCCCTGCCGGACCTCAACCGCGAGTATCCACGCCAAGTGTTCCCTGCCGGACCTCATGTAGGAAGATAAAATGTCAGATAGAGTGCCAGAAGATTTGCCAGGTAGAATGCCAGAAAATATGCCAGAAGATATGCCAGAAGATATGCCAGATAAGATAGAATGCCAGATAGAATGCCAGATAGAATGCCAGAAGATATGTCAGAATATATGCCAGAAGATATGCCAGATAGAATGCCAGATAGAATGCCGGAAGATATGTCAGATAGAATGCCAGAAGATATGCCAGATAGAATGCCAGAAGATTTGCCAGATAGAATGCCAGAAGATATGCCAGAAGATATGCCAGATAGAATGCCAGAAGATATGCCAGGTAGAATGCCAGAAGATATGTCAGATAGAATGCCAGAAGATGTGCCAGTAAGAACATGTATAAATGTCATGGTGGGGATCACACGAAGTAAAGTAATTTTCTGCAGAACTTGGGAGTTTTCCACCATGATTTTTTGGGGGATATAATGATATGATGGGAGAAAATGGAATATATCTAGGGTTTTTGGGATTTTCCTAGGGAAAAATGATTTTTTTGATTTATCTAGGAAAAATATTCAGTTTGATCATGGAAAAAGATGATTTATCTAAGAAATCAAACTTGAATCATGAAAATTCGAATAACCATCTGGAAAACTAAAACGACCCACGTTGCCTAATGTCAGTGGAGTGATGGGAATTGGGCTGGGGTATATAACTATCCAAGATGTCCTTGTCATCCTTTTTTCAAATTTGGGGCGTTATTATTTCTACAAATAGGGAATGAACCATGAGTAAAGAATCAACTGATCTAGGAAAAACATTGCTGGTTGGTGGTTTGGAACATTTTTATTTTTCCATATATTGGGAATGTCATCATCCCGACTGACGAACTCATATTTTTCAGAGGGGTAGGTCAACCACCAACCAGGATTGGGATATGATGGGATCTCATCGCTTAACTGAACTCACTCTTCGGGAAGCCTGTAATACGTCAACCGCTGATCGAGGGTTCCTATCCTGTCGCGTGCCAGTTGAGAAACTTGCATCCCAAAGATATGACTCCGCCCATGCGAGCGATTCTGGAACCAAAGGCCAGGGGCCGCCTGTGGCCTGGGTGAAAACACCGGAAAATTTATTGGCGCTGGCCCACGGATCCTACTATGGAGTGAAAAAAAAAGTTCGATTAACGGAATTACCTACTATGGGATGAAATATGGTTTATATGTGGATTATAAAAACAACGGATCCGACTGGATGCACATCCAGGGGTCACGAGTGGAACGAAGCATAAAACATCACCGTGAGCTCTGATATGATGGTGATAAGAAATGATAGAACTGTAATGAATCATGTGGGATTCAGCCAATGCAACAAGCCATCCCCAAAGTAATGGTCTTTATTGGTGCTATAAACAATCCCCAAATGTCATTAACAACTTCGATTTGCCGTGCCGCTGGTTTGGTTCTTGCTTCCCCATGAGAAATCCCGGATGGCTGGAGAATCGATAGCGAATCCCTTGTTTTTTAGGGAGAAAGTGGGTGATTTTCATGGGATGATTTGGAGTGTTTACCACAGTTCACTGCAACCCAGGAGCTTCCAGGATGTAGCTCCATGTTTGGAGGAACATCACGCTTAATGGTTACAAACATGATTGATAGAATTGGAGGCATCATTCTCATATGGAGGTTACCTGGAGGTTTCCTAAAATTGGGTTACCCCCAAATCATTCAATTTAGACCATTTAAGCATTAAAAGTTTTGGGGATCTCGCATTTTAAGAAAAGCCCGGAACTTCACATCAAAAAAAGTCACCTTTTGATCGTAAGTCCTCCATTCTTGGTTTCATTTCAAGAAATTGATACGAAACCGGTTGGCGGTTTGATGGGCGATTCTCCACAGCTATGTTCGAAGGAAGTTTAGAAGTCAAACTTCCGACAATAGATAGATGGCAAAGCAGAGGTGGAAAGAGTCGGAGAAGAGAAGAGAAGAGAAGAGAAGAGGAGAAGAGAAGAGAAGAGAAGAAGAGAAGAGAAGAGAAGAGAAGAAGAGAAGAGAAGAGAAGAAGAGAAGAGAAGAGAAGAGAAGAGAAGCGAAGAGAAGAGAAGAGAAGAGAAGAAGAGAGAAAGAGTCAGAAGAAAGAGTCAGAAGAAAGAAGCTGCAGGTGCGGGAAAAGGTAGAAAAGTCGTGATTCACTGTGTTTTCCAATGATT